GCCATGATTTTTAGAAATGGATTTTTTGAATTATTATTTATATTTATCTAGATGCCCCCTCCCCTTTATACTATATTTTTATTATTTATTACAATTCACTATTGATATTATCTCGGTAAATTATTTATTTATTACATTTTATTTTTATTACATTTTGAATTATTATTTATATTTATCTAGATGCCCCCTCCCCTTTGTACTATATTTTTATTATTAACAAATTAAGAGAATTGTCACTGGCAAGATTCGAATTCAATACCTTAAAATTGAAGGCTAATACTCCAACCACTAAACTACTATAATTTTCTAATAAAAACTTACAAATATATTATATTTATATACAAGTAAATGTATATCCGTGTAAATATATAAATATAAAAAATATAAATACAAATATATTTATATATTTTGATATATTTATATATTTTGATATATTTATATATTTATATATTTTAAATATTTACTGACAGATATATCCATCGGTAACTAATTATTAATTTACCGATGGGTGTATCCGTTGGTAACTAATTGTTAATTTATCCATCGGTAAATTCCATCGGTAATCACTCGGTAATTTTCGTCGGTAATCACTTATTTTCCGACGACTACATATCGGTCGGTAATTAATGATTTTCTTGTAGTGGCCTGGACCGAAGAAAAGTCAAGAAATTATTATTAGTAGTACGAAGTAAATAAGTCGACAAAAGCAAGTATCAATAGTGTAGCAAGTAATGAAGTTAGGTTAGATTGTATTTAGGATCATTTACCTTTGGGTTATGAGAAATTAGTTATATGGGGGTGCAAGAAGGTTAAAGCACAAGATCCTTTTAAAGAAGTCAATTCGGGGGACGAAGTATAAAGAAAGTCATCTTATGTTAGCAATTTGAAGAGTGTTAAGATGAAAGAAAAATAAGTAAAAATGTTCAAAGAATATAAGGATTGCTTTGCGTGGAAATATGATGAAATTTCAGGGTTAGACATAAATTTGATTGAGTATTATTGATTACCTATTATTGAAGGAAATAAGATAGTTAAGCAAGCTCGACGAAAGTTTGCACCTAAAATAATGAAGAAAATCAAAGAAGAAATCAAGAGGTTTTTAAAGGATAATTTTATCAAAATAACCAAGTTTGTTGACTTGATTTCTAATATTGTATCAGTTATTAAGAAAAATAGAAAAATGAGAATTTACATTAATTTTAGAGATTTAAATAAGGTAACATCAAAAGGACAAATATTCTATGCATGTTGCAAAAATGTTAATCAATGTAATGACAAGAAATAAAATATTAAGTTTTTTAGGTGGATATTATGGATATAATCAATTTTTTATTGCTAAAGATGATATATGAAAATTGCATTTTGATGCCCTAGGCGCTAGGTACTTATGAATGGTTGATTATGTCTTTTGGTTTGAAAAATGTTAGGACAACATATCAAAGAGCTATGAATTTGATTTTTCATGATTTAATTGGAGATTTTATGTAAGTTTACATATATGATATTGTGATTAAATCTAAATAAAAGAAAATTCTCATTTTGATAAATTAAAACAAGTCTTTGAAAGAATGAGAAAGAATGGTTTAAAAATAAACCCATTGAAATGTGCTTTCGATATAAATGCAAATGAATTTTTAGGATTTATTGTTGAAAAAAAAAGGGATTGAAATCAATCAAAACAAAGCAAAAGTAACAATTAAAACTAGTACTCCAAAACAAAAAAGAATTGCTATCTTTGTTGGATAATAATAATTATTTGAGAATGTTGATTTCAAATTTGACAGACAAAACTTATCTTTTTTCTTCATTGTTGAGATTAAAGAAATAGAGTGAATTTAGATCGGATCATGAGCATAAGGAAGCATTTAAGAAGATAAAATAAATATTGGTCAATACTCCTGTGTTAATACCAATGATTCGAGGAATGCTATTGAAATAACATGTATAAGCATAAAAAAAATACCACAACAAGTATGTTGGCACGAGAAGACGCAAACCGAGTAGAATGTATTATTTATTATTTGAGCATATTATTAATAGATGATGAAACTCGATACACTGTTGTTGAAAAATTGACTTTATATTTTTATTATTCTTGTTGTAAGCTTAAACATTATTTCAAGTCTTATGATGTAATTGTTTTCTCAAAAAATAATATATTGAAGTTATTATTATCTAAACCTATTATGCATAATCGAGTTGGTAAATGGGTGCTTGGTAGAATTTTCATTACAAATTGATACATTAAAATTGAAGTTATAGTCTATTTTTTGGTTGATCATATACATATTAAAATAGATGAAATATTTTTAGAGACAAACATATATATGGATATTATACCTTGATGGTTCAAGCACAGTGAATGGAACAAGAGTAGCAATAGTAATTATTTCACCTACAAATATTTCTACTAAATTATTATTTGAAATAAAGTTAGGATGCTCTAATAACAAACCTGAATATGGAGCGCTATTTTTAGGATTTGAAACATTAATTGAGCTAAAATTAAAAATAGATTTAGTTTGAGGAGATTCAAAATTAGTCATCCAACAAGTAAATTGGGAATATAAATGTTTAAATTCAAATTTGCTTTAATATTTGAAAAAAAGTTTTGATCACTACTATAAATAAAGTTTTCCACATCGGTTCTAGAAGGCCTTCAACGTTGTATCAGGCGACGTTGAAAGTTAACACTTTCAAGTGTCGTCGGTCCTATTTAACCGACATGGAAAGTATGATTTTTCAAATAGAAATTTTTTATTTATCATATTTTTTTGAAGTTTAAAGCATTACCAAATTAATTTTTTGTCACCGACGGGATTTGAACTCAGTACCTTAGTGTTGGAGGCCGATACTCCAACCACTAAACTACTCGAATTTTTTTATAGTAACTTACAAATAAATTATATTTATATACAAATAAATATATATACTGTGTAAATATATAAATATATAAATATATAAATACAAATATATTTATATATTTTGATATATTTATATAATTATATATTTATATATTGGATGTGAGGGCACGCTCGAAGGTGAAAGTGTGTGTCGAGTGGGTTTTCAAAATTTGATGTCAAATTTGTGAGCAGGTCTCTTTATATGGGTTTGTAATTTAATGACAGAATATAATATTTATAATTTATTTATATAATGATATAAAATAAATTTAGGAAGCACATCATTCGCTCAAGTGACACATTCGCTCAAGCGAAAAATACCAATTTTCGCTCAAGCGAGGCTTGAGCGAGTGAATTTCCATGAGCTTTAACGTCTTTTCACTCAAGCGAGAGTCAATCTCACTTTCATCCTCGAACACGCCCTCACATCCAACATATAAATATATAACTATATAAATATATCAAAATATATAAATATATTTGTATTTATATATTCTATATTTATATATTTAAACAGATATATATTTATTTGTATATAAATATAATTTATTTGTAAATTATTATCAAAAAATTATAGTAGTTTAGTGGTTGGATTATCAATTTTCAACTCTAAAATACTAGATTCGAATCCTATCGGTGACAATTCTCTAACTTAAGTAAATTTTTGATCGAAAAAAATAAAAACACTTTCCGAGAAAATATATAAATAAATATATATTTACACGGATATATATTTATTTGTATATAAATATATTTTATTTTTAAGTTATTATCATAAAATTACAGTAGTTTAGCGGTTGGAGTATCAGCTTTTAATTTTAAATTACTGGGTTCGAATCCGTCGGTGACAATTCTCTAACTTAAGTGAATTTTTGGTCGAAAAAAATAAAAACACTTTCCGGAAAATATATGTAAATAAATATATATTTACACGGATATATATTTATTTGTATATAAATATAATTAATTTGTAAGTTATTATCGAGAAAATTACAATACTTTAGTGGTTGGAGTATCGACTTTCAACTCTAAAATACTCGGGTTTGTATCAATAAAAAGACTTTCAATGTTGGTTCATCCGGAACCGACGTTGACTGTGTCCAACTTTCAACGTCATTTTTTAACCAACCGACGTTGAAAGTGTATTTAACGTCGTCTCAGCTTTAACCGACATTAAATGGCGACGTTGAAAGCATATTTTGTAGTAGTGTATATTGATAACCAAATTTGATGATTTTAGTTTTGAACACATATCTCAAAATTACCCAAATAAAAATCTAAGTCTTTCAAATAGATGATAGAAAAATAAAATATAAGGCCAAGAATTATATTGTATTGAATGAGTTATACATTAGAAGTGTGGATGGAGTATTACCTCAATGTTTAGGGAAAAACGAGGCTTATATTATTATGATGGGAGTACATAATGAAAGTTGTGAAGCCCACACGATTGGTGAAAAAATGAATTATGTATTATATATATAATAAAAGAATTATTGGCTATCCATTTTAAAAGATTGTATTAAATATGTTAAGTTTTGTGATAATGTCAAGTTTGGAAAATTTCAAAATGTGCCAGCAAGTGAGTAGTATTTCATGGTTAATACTATTATTACACCTGTAATACTTCAGAATTTAAAATTTATAATACTCATAAATTAATATATATATATATATATATATATATATTCTTAACTATTAATATTAGATGTGATTTAAGCCTTTAGCAGATGGCTACTTGCATTGTTAATCAATTAATGAATTACACACCAATTGGTGTTACATTACTGCTTGTATATTTCTTATTTAACATCCAACCTAAAAAACCACATTCTTATCAACACAACCTAAACAAAATCCCACTTCTCCTGATATGTTAATTTCTTTCGCTTTCCTTTACCAAGTGTTTATTGCCAATTTTGGTCCTTTATGAAGTTTTTGTTATTGGAAGATAATTTTTTAATTAAAAAGAAGGCCAGGGCAGAAATGATTTTTCCTATTCTTTTCATAATAAAAGGTCAACCTTGCAAAGCAAATGTGCTTCACCCTTCTTTGTAGTTCTTATCATCAATCACCATTCATATTCTCCCAACTCCAATGGCTTTGACAAGTGAGAAACAAATTAATGAAGAAAATGAGTTTATTCTCTCCCTTCCCAGAACAATAGGTTTGGCTACAGCTTCCCATCTACATCATTTTCAAGAATTTTGGTACCCATCGACTGTCATTCAAGGAGTATACAATTTTCAAAAATATTTTCATGCAAAAGACAATGATGTTTTTGTTGCCAGTTTTCCAAAATCAGGTACTACTTGGTTGAAAGCTCTGACTTTTGCTATTTTGAACCATCAACGCTTTCCCTCTTTTGAAAACCATCCATTACTCACTTCCAATCCTCATGAACTTGTGCCTCCCCTTGAATTCATTCTATCTCGTGATTGGGATGATCAAATTCTTAACTTATCCAACAAGAGTGAGCCAAGGCTTTTGGGTATCCACACACCATTCCCTTCATTACCCAAGTCCGTCAAAGAATCAAACTGTAAGATAATTTATATCTGCAGGAATTCATTTGACACTTTTGTTTCAGCTTGGGAGTTCTTTCCTAAAATCAAGTCAGTGCCTTTACCTACGTTAGCAATGGGGGAAGCATTTGAGAAGTTTTGCGATGGCATTATGACGTTTGGCCCATGGTGGAGTCATATGTTAGGTTACTGGAAGGAGAACATAGACATACCAAAAAAAGTTCTGTTCTTGAAATATGAGGATCTGAAAGAGGATACTGAATTTCATGTGAAAAGAATTATAGAGTTTTTGGGTTGTCCTTGTCGCCGTCGTCCGTTCCGACGTCTAGGGACATCTCAAACGTTTATGCGAGCGGTCATGAAAAGATGGTTTAGACTCGCGTTTTATTTTAAAATGTGTTCATTGCTCCCGAGGTGCTCAACAACTGAACTATCCTCTAATAAAAGCAAGGTTTTCGTAAAAGGGTTCTTATGGAGTCGCCACCAATGCTTTGACCATAAATATTGGAAAAGGATAAAAAGGCGTTGATTTTAAGAAAAACCAAACCTGGCCATTATAACCAGAGTTAGGTAAGGGAGTTAGTTACGCGTGGGGAAGGTGTTAGCACCCCACGACGCCCCTTCCGGGTTCCCTATGACAGATTAATTCATAAAGTAAAGATTAAGAGAAATTACGCTATTACCCTATTTTATTATGAAATATTAAAAATTGGCTATTTACATGATTCTATTTTCTATTGCATACATAAAGCAGTAAATAAAGCAATAGAAGAGAAGAGAAGTGAAAAGAACCTCCGTAGCAAGTTTATTATTGCAAATCTTTAACTGTGAGGATGCGTTTTGGCAATCCCCAGCACTACAAGGACTCTCCTCCCCGAATACAGGATCGACTCTACTAAAATTCTAAGAAGAATCGAATGCCGGAAGAAACTTCCTTAACCGATTGTTACCTTATAGGCAATCGGAGAGTTCATTCGAAAGAGGGAGAGAAGAGAAGTGTCTGGTGTGTGTAAAAACGCTCAAATGAGATCCTATTTATAGTTTATTCAGCCTGACAGCTCAGGACGGTCGTCTGGGGTGCAGAAAACAGGGACCATCGTCTGCAGAGGTCGGGACGGCCGTCTGGGATCTGGGACGGCCGTCCCAAGTGTCAAAATTGGGTGGGACGGCCGTCTGGTATGTGGGACGGCCGTCTGGACTGACTAGGACGGCTGTCTCGAGTGTTTTGGCCAGATTTTGTGTTTTAGGACTCCTGGGAAGCTTTCCTTTCCTCAGACGGAAGCCGATTGATGCCGATAGACATCCACCGAAGCTTCATCCTCAGATAGAAAGTCTTCTTAGCCTTTATTGAGAGGCCGGGCAAAATTAGGGTTCTACAGCTGCCCCCCCGCCCCCTTCACATGCCTGACTAACTGTTGGCCTAATGTTCCCCCAAAGTTAGTTGGTAGGTGAAGGAGTTAACCCTTTTTGCCCGGTCATCCTTCGGATGCTCCTTTACTGAAGTTTACTGATCCTCCGGATGATAAATATTTTTGATAGGTACCAACCCCTATCTGGTTTGAGCCTTCTTCTATAAGGCTCTGGTGAGTACTTACCTTCACCAAGTACGAGTTCGCATTTTGCTAAACTCTTGTAGGTACTTACCCCCACCAGGTATGAATCTGCTTTTTGCTAGATTCTGATGAGTACCTACCCTCATCTGGTACGAACCCTATTCTATAAGGCTCTTGTGGGTACCTACCCCCACCTGGTACGAACCCTATTCTATAAGGCTCTTGTGGGTACCTACCCCCACCCGGTACGAACCATATTCAACAAGACTCTTGTGGGTACCTACCCCTACCTGGTACGAACCCTATTCTATAAGGCTCTGGTGGGTACCTACCCCCACTCGGTACGAACCCTATTCTATAAGGCTCTTGTGGGTATCTACCCCCACCTGGTATGAATCTGCATTTTACTAGATTTTGATGAGTACCTACCCTCATCTGGTACGCACCCTATTCTATAAGGCTCTTGTGGGTACCTACCCCCACCTGGTATGAATCTGCATTTTGCTAGATTTTGATGAGTACTTACCCTCATCTGGTACGAACCCTATTCTATAAGGCTCTTGTGGGTACCTACCCCTACCTGGTATGAATCTGCATTTTGCTAGATTCTGATGAGTACCTACCCTCATCTGGTACGAACCCTATTCTATAAGGCTCTTGTGGGTACCTACCCCCACCTGGTATGAATCTGCATTTTGCTAGATTCTGATGAGTACCTACCCTCATCTGGTACGAACCCTATTCTATAAGGCTCTTGGGATGCTCTTTTTGGCAGTCAATCTTTTGATGAGTACAAACCCTCATCCAGTTTTGGAGATGTGTTGGCAGCTTACTATTTCTGATCATGCGCCCATTCATGGAAATTGATTGATTTTGTTTTTGACTTTTTAGTCATCCAGTTTTACCGGGGATTCTTTGTTCTCTTGGCTTTCTTGTTTAGTCATCCGGTCTTACCGGTGATTTCTTGTTTTTGACTCTTTTGGCCATCTAACGTATTGTTTGTCAGGGATTATTTGTTGGTTGCCTTTTATTTAGGCAGGAATCTATTAGGGATTTTTTATTTTTTCTTATTGTGCCTCTTTATGTAGGCAGATGCTTCACTGATGGAGGCTTTATGCTTTGGGCTTGTATTGGCTCTTGCATAGGTTGATTTCCCGTTTCTTGGGAATATTGGCTCTTTGCTTGCCAGGTATTGCCTATATATTTATAGGTAATTAACTTCTTGAGGATATGAATTTGTAATTTTTCCTTTGCTGATAGGCTCACTGGGGATAGTTTTTTCTCTTTTTGATGATCCACCGGGGAATTGATTGTTTTCCCGGAGATCTATTTTGACTTGCCCCCCAGGGAGGAATGGAGTTTTTAACTCCTTGTCGGATGCTGTTATTTTGAGCTGGCTTTGCCTATGCTCTTAATTGTTGCTCCTATCTCTTTTTTTCGCGATTTTGAAATTTGGATTTCTTAAATGCGTGCGCCTTTTTACATTTTAATTTCTTTTATGCACGCAGGTTTTTTCTTCTGATTATCCTTTAGGGATGAAAATGTTTTCTTCTTTTTCTCTTTTCTTTTTAGCGATCCTCCAAGGAGTTCATTGGCTTCCTGGGGATTCAACTTTGATTTGATTTTTATGACGGAGTCTTGGGCTCTTGATTTTGTGAAGTTCTTTATTGAGCGGGAAGATGAGGATTTTCTTGTTTTCCTCTTTTTGTGAATTTTTCTAAGATGCTATGTTTGGGGATTTTTATTTGGCCTCTACTGGGGAATGAAAGATTTTTCTTGTCTTTCTTTTTTTGTTGAACCCCATGGGATATGGAGATTTTGACTTCATATCCTCTTTGGTTGATTTCTATTCTCCTTTTGAAGTAGTGGAGATTCTGGATGAATGTGTTCGATGACTCATGTGATGATGAATTTGAGTCGTGAGGTAATCTTTTTGTTTTGCCTCTGGAGTAGGCAAGGATCTGCTTGGGGATCATCGAGCCTTTCCATTGGCCTTTTTTCGGTATACCCTCTTTTATCGGTGTAGAAGGAGAATGATTAAAGTTATGGTCTTCTTGAAGCTCTTTATTTTGCTGGAGTGGTTTTGATTTCGCCTTTTCTTTTGCGATTTTAATTTTTATTTGGAGACTGGATTCTGGTGCCTCCTATTTTCAATCACCAATATGGAGACTATCCTCCTTATATGCATGTTTATTATTCTTATTTAAAGAAAATTATTTTTTCTTGATTTTCACAAAGTCGTATTGTGCATCTACTTTGTGTGTGGATGTTCTAGATGCAATCTATATATTTATTTATTTTTTATGTATTTAAAAAGTGACTGGCCTTCTCCCGTTGGCTTCTTATGAATACGTTGATGGGCTCCTCCTTTATGACCATGATGATGGGCTCCCTTTTTTTATTCATCTTTTGGTTTTAGCCCTATCTTTTGCCTAGACTGCCCTTTATGGGTTTTCGATCTAGCGGGCTGCCCTAATTTTTGCCTAGAATATCTTAGGGGGTTTTTGCCTTATCTTTTGCCTAGACCGTTCTTTTGGGATTTCGATCTAGCAGGCCTCCATGACTTCAAGATCATCATCACATGAGTCATCAAACCATAATCATTTAAAGATCCGACCACTATCCTTCCATCCAAGGAAAAGGAAGTCATCAACCTTCTACACCAATAAAAGAAGGAGAAGAAAAGCCAATGGAAAAGGCTTGATCATCCTCAAGAGGATCCTTGCCTATTCAAAGGCAGTAAAAATACTCCCGACTCAACACCACCACATGAGTCATCAAACATAGTCATTCAAAGTCGCAATCAAGCATCCTTCCATCCAAGAAAGAAGGACACCATCAAAATAAAAAAGCCAACTGGAAAGGCTTGATCATCCCCAGAGCGATCCTTGCCTACTCCAAAGGCAAAACAAAAAGATTACCTCACGACTCAGCTTCATCGCCACATGAGTCATCAAGCACACTCATTCCCCAAAAGGAGAATAAGGGCTACACAAGAGCCCATCGAATACCTGAGTCAAATCCTCCACATCACCAGGGGGCAACAAAAAGAAAGAAAAGAAAAACATTTATTCCCCAATAGAGGCCACAATGAAAAAGGCCAAATAAAAAATCTCCAAGAAAAGTATATCAAGAAAAGTCTACAAAAGACAAAAAGAGGAAAACAAAAATTTTTCCATCTTCCAGCTCAAATAAGAGCTTCACAAAACTAGGAGCCAGGACTCCATCATCAAAATTGGATCCCCGGGAAGGCTGATAAACTCCTTGGTGAATCTTCAAAAAGGAAAACAAAATTTTTCCATCTTCCAACCTCAAATAAGAGCTTTACAAAGCCAGGAGCCAAGACTCCATCATCAAATTTGGATCCCCAGTGAAGCTGACAGTACTCTCTGAAATCCCAAAAAAGAAAAACTCTTCATTCCGCCTCAATAAAGAGCCTCACAAAGTCGAAGCTCAAAACTAATCAAGGATTAGATCCCCAAGAGAAAAATTCCCGTGTGATCACCAAAAAGAAAAAAAATATCTCTTCATCCAAAGAAAAAAGCCAATGTGCATAAAAGGCGACATACAAATCCATTCCCCAAAGTAGAATAAGAGCATAGGCAAAGCCACCAAACAACAACG